CGCCTTGGCCTCACGCATGCTGCCAGCGGCCTCTCACTCTGGCTTTTAGGTTTCCGGTGACATGGACGAGGTGACGAGGGAAGAGGGGTTGTGTCCTGGAGGCTGTGTGTAGCTCAGCAGGTCTGGGGTCTGTGCCCATGTCCAGAAGGTCATGGGTTTGTATCCCTTGGCTGGGAGAGTAACTATGACACCATTGGTTCTTTGAGCAGGGTTCGTAACCCCAAATGCCTCAAAGGAGTCAAAAAAAGAGTTGAACCTACACTCAGATCCCACGCTTTCCTTTCCTGTGCATCTGGACAAAAGCATCTAATAAATAATGAATGTAAACTAAACATTGTTTTTCCCAGTTTCAAAGAGATTATACATGCTTAGACTTAAGAAAAGTATGAAGGGAGTGAAAATTTTGTGCAAATTTAGTGTTTCCTAAGTCAATTCTAATATACAGATTCATTTGTCTAAGACAATTTCATTTGAGTCTCTGACAGAAATTAAGCAGGGTGCCACAGGTCTAACGATTCTGAGAGATTCTGAGAGAGCATTAGGCATAATGGACATTGCAGAAAATAATTTATTGGATTTGTTTTTCGTTCTTCATGATTTGCTCTCCGGCCCAGTAAATACACCTTCCAAAGAAGCAACAATTCTCAATATATTTTGGGTTTATCTTCCTGCAACGTCTGGTGGATTTTTAGGGTTTGTTTTTGCACTCTCAGCTGCCAGAGAAGATGCTAGCAGAGAAGGAGCTGGTCGGATCGTGGCGGTTTCCACTGCAGTGCCGTGCGACCGAAGCACTCAGCACCACAGAGCAGCTGACACATGCCCTGAAGCTTCTCAGGAACACGGTATTGCAATGTCGCTGTCAGCCTTTGGCAGTCCACATCACTCGTTTCCAAAAGTACTAACAGTCATGACTGTGATGAGTTTATGAGAATGATCCAAATGCCCCTTTGTCTTATTTCTACATTAATTTAAGGATTCAATGTGTAAATATTTATGATTTCAAGTATTAATATTAGGTGTGATTAATTGCAATTAAAGAAAGTTGTGCGATTGTTTGGTTGATTTTTTTTTTTTCCCTTTTAGAGTAGTTTTTAATCGATTCACTGTTCCCTCAAGTCAGTGGGCCAGACAGCTGAACTGAATGAGCTGTGGAAAATTGAATGGATGGGAGGGAAAGGTCTCCATGAGTCTGACTTTAGGCCTTGAACCCAAGATCATGATATAAATCGTGTTAGTCAAATATAATTATCAATGGTAAAAATTATAATTGCTCCACTATTGACTGATCTCAAAATATTTTAGTATATGTAACCCATAAAGTTAATATCATACTCTTGAAATAAAAATAACAAATAGGCAATACATAATATGTTTACTGAATCTGTATACAGTAGCATGTACAATATTCTTAATGTTTATTAATTAGAGAAAAAATTGTCAAGGGTCATTTAAACACTTTCTTCTTTTCAGTATAGATTCTGCGATAATAAGCAATCTGATTCTCTATACCACAACAAACAAGCAAGCTTTGCTTAAGATCCGGATCCATATCCATTATTTCGCGTTCCATTGATTCTAAATAACTAAATATTCTGTTACGTTTTCCGCTAAGTGCTTTGGCTATGATATTATTGGTGCTAATGGAAATTCACTTTTGATTACAGTCTTCCATCTTAGTCATTATTGCAGTCTGATTATGCGTACATTTCATACTTAGAGATGTAACTTTGCTCACAGCAGCTTTCGGCAAAATAGTCCATACTGGCAACTCACTAAAGCCTAGCTCTGTTCCAGTCTTACGTTTACTCTCGCCATGTTTAAATCTTTTAATTATGTCAAGTTTAATATCTAAAGTAATCACTTTTTTTTCTTTTTTTCACTCGCCATTGTGGCATCACTCTTAATCTCAGATATAGTTAAGTGGGCAAATATTTTTTAAATTTAAAGAAAACAGTTGGTTTGCAATAGACTTAATAAACACATGCGCTTTCAATGCATTTACTGTTTACTGTTATGTTGACCAAAGAGGCTGTTATCGCCTCCTCCTCATGTTATGTAATTGTTACGTATCACTGTGTCTGTACATTAGAGAATCACCTTCATTTCCTTGGTAACGTCCTGCACGTCTATGTCCCCTGGGTCACGTGTCCTCGGTGCGGTGTGCAGTTCCAGGAGGCAGCGCAGGTGGGTGACGCTGAGGAGAGGCAGAAGATCTGCGAGCAGGTCTTCCAGGGCGGTGAGGAGGAGTATGGGCTGCTGGAGGCGCTGAAGCTGCTAATGCTGCGGGCAGCGGTGGAGCTGCATGCTAGCATGCAGCGCGGCGACGATGTGCCCGTCTTCTGCTGGCTGCTCTTCGCACGCGACACCTCCGGGAACCCAAGCACGTTCCTCGCCAACCACCTGAGCCACGTGGGTTCCACTGGGGGTCTGGAACAGGTGAGCTCTACAGCGCCCTCATCTGTAAGCCACTAAGTTTCAGGCCCAGAGAGTAAAAGTCCAGCCCGGGATTTTGTTTCAACCAACCAGTTGAGTACTCTGTGACTGTGACTCTTTATGCTGGTTGGTTGAAACAAAATCCCAGTCTGGACTTCTACTCTCTGGACTTAAATTACCCAACTCTGTTGAAACCTCTTTCCTTTATCCTGCTGGTGCAGTCGTTCTCCAGGGGTCGTCACTCCAGCCACCTTCTATAAGGAAGCTGCGAGTCAGGCTACACTCAGCTCATCGGTTCCATGTACGACACTGTCAATTTATCAGAAGTTATGTAAAGTGCATTTCTGCTAGATCTTCTGCCATACAGCATTAGATGTGCTCTGTATGTCTTGTGACTCACTCTCAGATAACTGAACTGTTTTTATATCATCTGTATATCTATCTATTGTTTTTTTAACTGCTAACACAATAATTAATGATGAATTGCACACTTTGGTGAAACGGTATGGTTGGGAAAACACCAAATCACCAAATAATGCATCTTTATGATAATCTTTTAATTTCTCGAGAAGGGTAGGCCAGTGGCTTATCTTGTCATAATGGTCTCTCCAGAAGCTAACCAGCAAAAAAAATCCCCTTGATGATTAATGCATATGAAAACACGGTCTGCTAACTGTCAATAAGCCTCCCCATGGAAAATCCCGTCTTTGTTGACTGAGATTTATGACTGTGCCAGGAACCCAATTCAGTTGGTTAAACGCTTAAGTTTGCTGGATTTTAAAAGGTACTTAACAGTATGGCACCTGGCTTGTGGTCATACTGTAATCAGTAATAATAACAGAAATAACCAACAGCCTGCATTGTCTAATCAGGCTGTGACATTAAAAAAAAAAAACAATTTAGCAGACTTCAGAATACTTTAAGATTAGCTGAAAATGGAAGAGAAAACAATTATCAAAAATGTATGAAAGTAAAAGTGAAGCAGCCCGATGTAGATGACAAAATTGTTAAACACATCTATTTTATTTCTGTAATGTATAGCTCTAGGGATTCTAGCAATTATATTCAAATTTTCAGTCTTCAGGTTTTGTTACATTTTCCACTGGGGATTTTTTTTTCGTTTTACATGGCAATGGGCAGAAGCAAAGGGAGAATCTAGTCAGTGCATATGTATGTATTGAGTCATAACAAGCGTAGAATTTAGTTACAAGACCCTACATTATAAACATCATAAACATGTTATAAACACTATCAAATACATCTTAACACTGCTCACATCCTCATGATACATCAAAAATCATTGCATCCTGCCTTGTTAAAGGTCCACCCATTTGCAATTACAGCACATAGCCTGGGTACAACCTGGGTACAAGCAGTCAATAGAATCTTTGGGCCTGTTGACCAAAAAAATGAAAACAAAAAAACGCTCATTGGCTGCTGGGAAAACGAATCTCAAAAATTGTTCAGTGCATATAGAACTGGTGAGGAAACAAAAGACCTTTCTCCTGCCGTAGGTGGAGATGTTTCTGCTGGGGTACACCCTGCAAAGGACCATCCAAGTGTTCCGTCTCTATAAAGTGGACACAGAAGAGTTTGTGACCTACTACCCTGACGACCACAAAGACGACTGGCCCTGTGTGTGTCTTGTCACTGAGGATGATCGTCACTACAATGTTCCCGTGAACAAACTGGCAGAACCCAAAATCCCAGAAGCCCACGTAACATCCTGATTTGAGCGAGGCAGCCCCACAGAGGACCAAGCTCTTAAGAAATACCCCCAAGCAGCTGACACCTACCATCATCTGCTCAAAATATCATTCTCAAGCAAGTATCCGTTGTAGAATGCATAAGTGCTATTGTTTTCTGCACCAATGAGGCAGAGGTCACACCAGCTTCCTTTAGCTTGTTTATCCAAAGCATCAGAAACGTAATTTATTTTTCCAAGACAGAAATGCAAGTCTTTGAACTGACATCTATGGCAGATGACTGCAAAAATATCAAAAACGATTACAGTGGGAATCCAATGATGATTTTCTCAATTAATTCACTCAAACTAGCAGTAGCCAGCCTCCAAATTTTACGTTTAACATGTATAAGAAACAGCCCTATATTGAAATTAAACTACTGTTGTACTCCATACAAAATGTACATGGAAGAGAATCTACAGTTAAACCTGACAGATTAACACCAATATGCCTATTTTGCCCCCCGTTTGTGTTGTTTATGTGAAGTTACAGCAATCCAGCCTCTGCTTTCTTCTTATACTTTTCCACATCTCAGGCTGTCCAGATTAAAAATTGCCAGCAACAACCTATAAAGAGTAATGAAGCTGCCCCACCATCAAGACAGACAAACCATACATTTTTATAACTTCTCAGTTTTGGGTTTTCAGTGTAATAAATACACATTGGCTTCAACAATAAATATAGACAGACATTGATTAACGAAACATTGTTCTGATATATGTGTTTGAACCTGTCATTACTGAAATAAAATATTTATTTTTGTGCTTTGTATGTGATGGTTAATATATTATATAATTACTGTCTGAAAATAAGACATATAAGTACACGTGATCCATAAAAGGGCTTTTCTCATTTGGTTCCAGTATTTCAACATAAGTCTGGGAGTTTGGTGATATTTTCCAACCCACAAGGATGTTCAGACTAATAACAATAACATTAATAATAAATACAACAGAAGCACAGTTTATGAATGCTTGTACATGCTGAACTCATGAATCTTTGCTGGCATAAAAGAAACTGTAAATTAGCATGCGAGTCATGGAGACATGACTCATCTCAAGCTCAGTTCCCAGACAGAAAGAAAAACCTGTTGTGAACAGACATTTAAGCTTGATTTTCCAAGCTATCACAATCAGGCCTCACAAATACTATGTATCACCCATACAAAATAAACCAGAAACAGTGTATTCGCACAATGAAATGAAATGGAAAAGAAACCCTTAAATGTCATCAAAGCACCAACTTAGCAGTCAAATGCAATTAAAACAATTGTTTCCATTTCACACTCAGCACAATATAATGACCTTTTTTTTAAATCTACTCTTAGTGTTACGAAAGCCGAAATGTTTAATGGAGAAGAGTTCCGCAGCTTAATGACAAACACAAAGCCCAAATCTTTCAATGAAGATCCATTTGAATGAAGATCCAGTCCATTTCTTCTTCGTCTCCCCATACATTCAACAAAAAGCCACAGAATTCACCAAGAAATCACGGCCGACACACGTGTTACACGTTTCAAACCGTTTGTCGAACGTGGGACAGCAGCACAAAGGAGGGGGATTTTTGACATCGTGGTTGTGGACACAGAATGTTGCTCTACTACAAGCCTGCCCACTGCCGGTACCCACAAGGCGGGTCATCTTGGCATATGGAAGACCTGCGCTGGGTGAGCCAGAGGGACGTTTGGGGCTGGCAAGCCACTCAAAGCCATCTCGGTAAGCAGAAGGACACCCCAGCCTTCCCATCACCTTCCACCTCTGTGCTGTAGCTCCTCATTCGTCCTCCTCTTCCCTTATTTCCACAATGTCCTCCATCTGTCTCCAAGATCCCACTTCGTTCATAGGAGGCAAGTTCTCGCCCTCCGCTGCCATATCGTCATCCGTTTCTTTGTTTTTCTTCTAAAAAAAGATGCCAGAGCGGTTAACCATCTCCTTCAATGTCCAAATGTACTGAATTGATGGAAGTGATTTTAGTAGACTTGATAAATTCATTTGGAATCTCAGCTATAGTTGGTCATTACTGGTCCTAGGAATATCTTGTCCAAATAATGCTTTTTGTTAATCACAATCACTGTGTTCAATATGTAATTCCTTTCCTGTCCTCTGCATAAGCTTTCAATATAGAAAAATATATGTGACAAGTGAGAGTCTGTTTCGAATTGAGTCAATATAAGAGTTGGCATAGGTGGCCGGGACAGGGAACATCGTATGGACAAACGTGCTTGTGCAATATGTTTTGATTAGAAAAAATACTATGTCTGTGGTAAAAAAAAAAAAAATCTGCACTTTAATCTAAATGTCTTTAGATGTTCTTTAAACATTTTCTTTGACAGTCTTTCATACAGTACTGTACATTGCTTAGAACAGGGCTGTTCAAATCACGGTCCTCAAGGTCCGAGCACTGCTGATTTTCCAGCCTTCCTTTACCTGTGAACCAGATATGAAGCCTCTGGCCAATCAGAATCAGTAATTATTAAACTACCTACCTCGGAGAACTGAAAACACGACCTGGATCTAGAATCGAGGGCCAGATTTGAAGAGCCCTGGCTTAGAATAAACACTGCTAAATTAATATGCTAACATTAGCTAAATAAGTGTAAATGTGAACAGCTGGGTTAAATGTAGTATTCTGCTACGTTCCACTTGCTGTTCCATGTGTTCTGTTGTCAGTCTCCTCATACCGATGTGGCCGGTTGCTTCTCACCTGCTTCCGGTAGACATAACAAGCTGCCACTGCAACCATCGTGGACTCGCCCAAGAAGCCGGCGAGCAGAGAGCCCACTCCCAGCGTGGCCCCATGCACCCTACAATGCAGAGCAGCCCCCTTCAGTGCGCTACGCTCTACCTTCAGGAAGGTATCCAATGTTCCAGCGGTATCCTGCAGTATTACATCACTATCCTATTAGTAAATTGACGAATTCCTCCTTGTTAATAACACGTTTCATGGTAGCCATGTGGGGCATGGAACACAAATGTTTGTGCTCATGTATCTTTATATGGTGAGATGAAGAATCTTGAATCCTGACAGCTTAAGAGAGGTAACCGATTACAGCTATGGTTAACTATTCTGCATATTTCATCAAGTGTTTGAATTTAATTTTCTATCCATGATGATTTGAACAGATTTATAGGCAAACCTTAGATTTTCCCACTACCCAGTGCATCCTGGGATCGGCCTGAGGCTCCCCACCATCCTGTACTGGATAAGCACTTATGGATGGATGGATATATGGGTGACATGGAAACACTGTGCTTCCTGAAAACTTCTGTTTGTGCAACAGCCAGATCACCGCACAGTTTTGTTAAATTCTGATTTAGTCCTTAATACATCATATACCTATTTACCCACTGAAGAATAAATCACATTTACTTCCTAAAATAACAATTAGCCAGAAACACTCTGCTATACCCTGCTCCACTCACAACACACCATTGAACTGAATCTAAGACATCCTATACACTTTGTACCTTCTATGGTGTTTGCATTTTATGTACATTGTCTGTCTGTAAATATGATGTCTTTTATATTGTATTTAATCTGTACTGTTTTGTTCGGTTGTGTTGTAATGTACCGGAGAGACACCAACTGCTGGAAACAAATTCCTTGTGTGTGCCACACGCACACTTGCCAATAAACCTGATTCTGATTCTGAAACACACCACTCTCAATGAAATACATCTATTTCTTCATCACCACAGAATTCCCAAGATCTTTCATAACATCACAGGTTCATTGCTACCACAGGAACGTTCATATTTATTATTTAAGCAGCTGTGAATAATTCAGCTTAATGGCATTTAACAGCTCCAACATCACGACTACCAGCATTCCAACAGCTATGGGGAAGTTTTTCTATTGCCCTTTAATAATGTTTATTAACACAGTTCATTACCAAGAGACCAAACCTAATGATGTTAATCAGACAATAGGGCACTGTGTTCATGCAACAAGCAGGATCAAATGCAGACTTCTGCTTTCAGAAGCAAGCTGAGATTTAATTATTTATAAAGGAAAAATTAATACTATGACTGCAGTAAAATCTAATGTCACATTTATACATACATTTAAAAATATTTTTCATTTTTAATGTCCTGATAGCACATTTTACTATAGTAGTAGGTTCCATGAGTAGTAGGTTCTGACTCATAAGTGCAGAACCCATTCCTAGCTTTTTGGGTTGGACATACAGGTAGGGCTAAGATATGGGCTATGGTTCTGCATGAGTTTAAATGACAGGATGCAGGACAGTTTTATTCATTTAAATACAAATGTATTACACTTCACTATAGTCGGATTATGCAGGAAATGTATCTAATTCAGCATAAGATAAGGGTTATGCAGTTAATTATATAAAGTATAGTGCTTGTAATTTTTATTGAAGTGTTCTATGTTCTGATGTGTATATAGGGGCGGGGCTACAGGGACACTGGCCCCAGCTGAAAGCTGATTGGCCCTTGGAATGTCCCCCCTCAGATGTCATAAAGTCTCCAGCTTAACCTCATAGGCCTGAATGGGATTCCCTCAAATTGGTCAGCTGGGGGGGGGGGGGGGGGGGGCACAGGCGTCGACATGGAAACGTACCCCAGGTAGGGCAGCACGATGAGGCTGGTGATGAGCACGACAATGCGCAGCACCGAGCTGGGCGCCAGCACCGACGTTTTCTTCAGCGTCATGAGCCAGCCGGTGAGATGGGCCCTGACGGTCACTGCATGGGCACAGAGGACCGGCCGGGTTAAAGTGCGGCCCAGTCACATCATGCCAGCACAGCCGGATACAGGCAGCGGGTTAGGACAGATTAGAGCAGGGAGATCCAGATTGGGGCCAGCAGACTGTAGAATACTGGGAGTAAAATTCATGCAAGGTCTTTCACATGTTTCCACCAGTGTGGGACAGACTACTGACAGACAATAAACATGGAAAGACTTTAACGTAACGCAGCTTGAGATCTTGAGACAACTTTTACTTAAACACTCCCAATCCTTATTTACATGACATTTATTTATAACGGACTCCTTTATTTTAATATCTATGGCTTGTCAAAATTATTCTCAATAAAAGCTGAATGGTTGATCACTAAGTATAAGGTGGTGTCTTTAGAATAATTTAATACCCTTTACCCAATCTCATATATGACCAATTACTAAACAATGTCAGTCAAAAAGAACATATGAAGTCGTCATTATACATAGAAGTGATACAATTATCTGTTATATGGCTTCCATGGCTAAAAGGTCCCATTTTGCCATGCCCCACCCTCCCAAATAGGGGTGGCAGGATCATACCAGGCAGAGGGAAGAAGGAAAAGATTCTCAAGGGGGCGACGCAGAGCTCAGCAAATGCGAAGTCCACTTCGATGATGTCCACCAGGATCTTCTCAGAGACGTGAGGAGTCCAAAACACCACAAAGCATAGCTTGGAACATACAAAACAGGTCATCACAAACCTTGTTACAGGAAAACTCTCTCAATAGGAACTGATAGACTATGGTAGGTATTAAAAGCCCCACCAGCTACCAGAGACAGAATCAAATGCTTTCCAAGACTGCAGAATTGAACAGCACACAAGAGGGACTCGCACTTGAATTAGCACAGTTACTCGGGCATAAACAATAACACCAAGGTTAATAGGCTAGAGTTCATGTACCCTGTCAAGCGTCTTGATTAACTCAAGGACTTTGGTTAAACGAATCCTGCTGCTCTGCAGTATCTGCCATCAGAAATAAATGTCAGGTTCTGAAGTTTATAAGTTACCAGAGGAAAAAAAAAGTTTAAGTAATAATTTGTTATGCTAACACAATCCGGGCTGTGAATATAATGTTCTCTTGTTCTCCTGCTTGGCCTTATTGTTAAGAGAAAATTACTCTTAAAGGAAGGAGAGAAACTGGACAAAAGAGGATATTTAAGACCAGAAGGACATCAGCAGGCCAGTTAAAAATGTGCCTGAGCTGCATGTGTGGTTGGCAGATGACCCAGCTGTTTGGTTATATAACACCGTACACAGTGTACACTCTACATCTCAGTGTATTTTTCCTTTTTGTCTTCTGTAACCGGCTTCAAGAATCGGCCCTTTGCAAAAAAAAAAACAAAAAAAAAAAAACAACAGTTATCTCTACCACCTTGGAAATGTCCACATGAAACACTGGAAACCAGATGCGGTCCACTACCCACGAAGAGTGGGAAAATATTTCGACATACAATCAATCGGCATTATTCCAGTTCAGTACATAAGTTCAGATGACCAGAGGACTTTGCACGACTGCGGGATTGTGTGTGACTAACCTAGAGCATGATTTATTTGGTCTATTTGCATAAGAGAGGGCCGATGAGCAACGTTACACTAAATATTCAGCCAAGCAACAAACTTTTATGAAGGCAAAGACATTATATGTAGGTACGAATTATTACTGCTCATTTATCTAAAGAAATATAGCAATTTTTTCTTTAAGTTTTAGCTACTTTATTTAGACTGGTAATAGATGATTTGTTTTACATTTCGATTACAAAGCCAGTGAAAGTTGAACTTAGTGCCTCCACTTTATTATTCCTTTGGCAAATAGGGCTTTTACATTATTATTTGTGAATAATCTTTCCATTGTTTTTTTCAAATGGTAGAAAAAAAAAGATAATGCTATGCTACAGGCTAAAGGCGTGCTAAGATAAGGAAATCCCTATAGCAGTTAGAATTGGGAGTCACTGCTCCAGAGATGCAGTGTGGAATCAATGGAGTCCACTGCACTGCTTGCGTGTGTGTGTGGGTATTTATGTGTATTAAAACAAACAGTGATTTCTTTGGTTGCATTGACATGTAATGCCAGTCATTCTGCAGCTCATCACATGGGCATACCCGAAAACAGGATGCCCGGCTGGTTTGCTCTGGCACTCACTTACACTGACTCTGTTTGTATAAATCACGACGGTCTTTGTGCATTTTCATTGCCGACGAAGGCTTCCAGTCCGTCCTGCTGCATGCACAGATTTCAATTAGTAGCATAGAGTTTTGAGAGATTATCAGTTTTTAGGTGGTAATGGAATCTGTGTCTACAATGAAGTCAGCCATTTACCTTTTATCACAAGGACCTTTTCCAGTCTAAAAATGCCAAGCTGATAAAAATTTAACTACTGGGACACCCACATATTTCCTGCCCGCTGCAAGAATTCTGTCATCAAGCTACCAGTCTTCTGGGTTTGTCTGTGAGGTGAACCTGTGTCGAAGTGTGTTTTCTCCTTCATTGCGATTAGCTGCACTTTCACACATAATAACACGAGTGGAACCCGCGTCCAGAGACTTTCACTCCAGCGCGTGTGGGCTAGAAGAGAAGCTGTTTGCTTTTTCCTTTCCACTGGGACTCCGTTTGTTACTCTGATGACGGAGCAGCAGCAGCAGAGATGGTGAAGCGAGGTCCTGGCGGGGTACAGTCGGCCGCGACTGACAGCGAGCGGTAATCTCACCGGCTCAGAGTTTAGGACTCATTTCCCTCGCTGCAACGCCACAAAGATTTTGGATGCAAGGTCACTAAATTCCAGGCTGCAGATGCAAAACACTGCAAATGTTTATATTTAACTGCACCTTAACTGTATTAACTGTGTCTTGTATTACAATTACTGCACCTTGTATGGGTTACAATACCACAATGAACACATATACTACCAAAGACATTTTTCTTGGGCAATATCAGTATTATGCAGCATCTGCAGTGTAATAGCTCAGCTATTTTGTGTATTTATTGTACATCCCACACATAGATTAATAGGTTTATTATGTTATGTCTTGTGTGATGTCTTGGATGAATGCGTACTTGACTTGTTCTCGTTTTACATCATCTTCCAAGACCAGTTCCAATACTCAAGAACAGAAGTAGAGAGGACCGTAAAAAATCCCTATATGTCAGTCATGCTCCACCTCAAATATCAAGGGTCCACTGGCTGCATGCCCGCCAAACGAGACCAATCCCATGATTCAATGCAAGTTCGTTCTTGGATGGCAAGTTAGCAAGACACGTCTTGCCAAGACCACAAGTACGATCTTTGTTTTCGCAGTATTGAGATTCACTCATTATGTCAAACAGGTAATTTTGTTTTAGTAATACTTAAGCTTCTTCTATTTTAATCACTAAGAGTTACTGTCCTATACCTGTTAAATTTGTAATGAATAATGCACTGTTTGGACTGGTGCAAAATTTTTGTTTCTCTCTCTCTCTCTCTCTCTCTCTTTCTTTCTTTCTTTCTTTCACCTAAATGTGTCAGGATTGAGATCATCCTTTCTTTCAGCCACCTTCCATGACTTAGCGATGTTGATCATAATATCCCGGTATGTCAATGTTCTTTAGAATTTTGCTCTTACCGTGACGGAAATCGCCAGGCAGACGAAAGTGAACTTCTTGATGTGTGACTTGGTTACCATGGTGCTGCTGGTGGTCATCTTGTTACTGGGATTGTTCTGGGTCAAAGACAAAGCACATAATTAAGCCAAAGCATGTAACAATGCTGATTATTAATTTAAAATCATTGAAATTATTTCATGTTTCCGTACAGAAGTCAAAAATACAATTTGTCACTGCAAAATATTTAATTAAGCTCCTATCTCTTAATCCTGGCCCAACATGAGACATGAAGTTAATCCATGCACAGAATTAAACCTCTGCTTAAATCCTCCTTTAAAACTGAGCCAAACGTGAAGTACTTTTATACTTGGACCATTGAAGCTCAGCGTAACATGATGCCTCATACTCTTTATGGCATAACATCACACTCTTGGCTACGCAGAAAACAAATCCTGACAGATAACATTATCACTTTGTTGCAGTTACTGGGCCAATCCTGTATAAAACACCGTCCAGGCTGAAAATGTCACCTCCATAACCAGAGTCAATCATTATGTCCGGAGTGATGAATTCATTCAGCAGAGAAAAGACAAGGTAAAGGGAAGATTGGTTCCTCACCTTGTCAAAGGCTGGATAAACCGCCCGCAATTCCGTCAACCAGCCGTAGGGCATGTGACCCACTGGGTATGTGGCCGTCAACACAGCAACAGCCTAAAAAAAAACACACACACACACACATTATTTCACAGTGACTTGTGGAAGATGCATAATACTTGTTGTGCTTTCTAGTAGTCCATCCATTTTCTGTAACTGCTTGTCCTACTTAGGGTCACATGGGGTCTGAAGCACAAGGCAGGGAACTACTCAGGATGGGGCGCCAACCGATTGCTAAGAACACTCACACATGACCCATTCAAGCAATTAACCTCAGCGTGTTTTTGGACTGGCTGGGGGCGGGGGGGAAGAACATGCAAACTCCACACACTTAAAAAGGACCATGGCAGAGACTCAAACCCAGGACCCAGAGGTTTCAGGCAACAGTGCTAACCACTGCAGCACCATGCTGCCCACCCAGACAGCTAACCACTGCAGCACCATGCTGCCCACCCAGACAGCTAACCACTGCAGCACCATGCTGCCCACCCAGACAGCTAACCACTGCA